GTATTTTTAGGGAAACCTGGGAGGGGAGGGAGGGTTGGGGAAATGCACAGGAGGGTTTAGCTTCATTTGAGGACCTCACTTAGGAAGAACTGGGTGGTTTCCAGACCTGGCCCGTGGGCAGTCTGTCCCCACCTACTACGTCACTACCTAGGTCCCCCCTCCGGGACCCCATGGAGCTGTCTCAGGAATGCTACTCATGCAAGGGGGAGCCAGGACCAGAGAAAGGACAGGACCTCACTTCCTGTCCCCATCCGCTCTATAAATGAGCTTCCCTTTCCATTCTGAAATGCAGCCAGCTGCCTGCTGCTCATACAGGGGGAGTCCCCAGAACAAGCACCTGTGTTCAAGGACAGGAAAGGGAGACACTCTTGCCCCCCACATCCGGCTCTAGACCAGGTCAGACTTAAGGGCTGAAGTCACTCAGGCTCCCTCTCTCCCACACACCCCAGGCTAAACAATCCTGCCCCCCGCCATGGGTCTTGGGGCTCAGGAGAAGAGTCAGGTCACAGGGGCAGAGTCACCTCAAACCCCTCTGGCCGCTCAGCCTTGGGTCTCAGGCTAGTCCCCTCCCCCGCACTCCAACATGGCTGTTCCTTTCCACTCCAGCTTATCCAGCAGCACATTTCCCGAAGGAATCCTCCCCACAAATCAGTTATTTTTATACTTCATTAAGAGCAACCCCCCCCCCCCGCTTCCCCTTCCCCCCCTTCCCCCGCCTAAAGGCTGGGCCAGATAAATGTCGGTCTGGGCCTTGACCCACATCACCAGGCGTGCACACACACACACACACACACACACACACACACACTCAGCTGGGGGAGGGCAGGCTGAAGCCTGCGTAGCAAGGAGGACAAGTGTCTCTCCTCCCAGCCCAGCCCCACCAGCCCGGGGCCCCTGGCACACAGGGGCATGTCCAGGAGACCTGAGATGAAGGGCAGCCACCAGTAAGCCCCCTTTTCTTGGCCCAATGTCTAGACCTCTCTTCTGGGAGCAGCTTCACTACGGTCCCCTGGGCCTCAGGGCTGTGTCTCCTTGGAGCCACGTGGCCTGAGGCCAAGGGATCACGATGGCCCGGGGAGAGAAAGGGCAGGAGAATCATTAACCCAGGCAGCAGGGTTAGCGGGGGAGAGCAGTGGAGAGCAGTGTCCCCTCCACAGGGGCAGACCGGACTTGGCCTCCCAGACCCACCTCTGGGCACAGGGAGAACGCTGAGGGTCCCTCCCCAACTCTGGAGCCTGGACCCAGCTCCACTCTGGGGCCACAGCCCGTGAGCCCTGAGGTGCCACAGCTGTGGGGCAGAGATCTGGGAAGGGGAGGGGCCTGGGGAAGGGGCGGGGCAGCCCAGCCAGCCTGTCCACAGCTGTTTCTCCTCCGGCTCCCTGGGGTAGGCGCCAGCCGATGGGCCGAGGCTGGCCGGCTGGAGCTAGGGCGGCCCACCCTAGTGACGCCCAGGGGACCTTCCGCGGCCCTCCCTCAAAGGAAGGGAAGACAGCCAGGTGCCTACTGGGGTGGGGAGCGGTGTAGGAGATGCCTGGGGCTGGGGGTCCCAACAGAGACGACCGCTGAACCACCTGCGGGGCGGGCCTGGCGCGGGAACACCCCTCACCCCCACCAGAGACCCGGGCAGGACGCTCACCTCGCCCCACCCCACGCAGATGTCAAGGGAAAGGGTCCCTGGCTGGGGTGTTTCGTGCGGAAGACAGAGACTCTCCATTCATCGTGCACGCGGGGGAACTTCCTAACTCAGAGTCGGGGGGGTCAGGGCTATTCTGAAAGGGCGAGATGGGGGGTCCCTGTCCCCAAAGTGAAGCGCACAGGAAGCAGGCGGAAGCAAGGATGATGGACACCTGTGACCAAGGAGCCACGCGGGGAGCCCCCCACCGTCAACTCAGTGAGCAGAAGAGAAAGCTGAGGCTGCACAAACAGGAAGCCTCAAGGCTTGAGGGAGGAGGGGTGAGGTGGGGGCCGTTGCCATGGCTTCTGTGTACCAAACACAGGAACCCGGCAGGGTGGGGGCACCAGGCAGAGACACACACTCCACACACACGGAGTGGTGACGAGGCTCTGGGCACCGGGCCGCAGGCGGCATCCTTGGAAAGGGGCCCCTGGCCGCATTCTCAGGTGTGGGCAGGTGCAAGGGATCCCGCAGCGGGGGAGGCGGGGGGCAGCTGCGGAGGCCACGGGGGGGGGGGGCATCCGGAGGAGTGGGAAGTTACGAGTTTGGGGGCAGAGAAACAGACTCCGGGAAACAGTTCAGGAGAAGAAATGCCCCGGGAACCGAAGGCCTGTCGGGAGCCAGAGAGCCCCATACCTGAAAATCCTGGACGGAGAAGGGCTGGGGTGGAGAAAGCAGTAGAGGCCAATCCCCAGGGGGCAGGAGAGGGCTGGGGCGCTGGAGGGGGGGGTGCAGTCGGCCAAAGACGACCGCGCCACCTCCGCGGGGCGGGCCCCCTCCCCTCCCCAGCCTGCCTTGGCCTTCTCTGCAGCTGTGGGTCTTCCCGGGGGACTAGGGTGAAGAAATGGGGGGTGGCGTCGGAGAGGGGGAGCTGTCCCTCTCTTTGGTGCTCCGCGGTCAGAACTCGGGAAAGCCCATCCAAGCCGCTGGGCCCCCCCCCATCCCCGGGACCCTCACTCCCGCCACGCTCCTTTCTGCTCCCAGATGCCAGGCTCCCCCCAGAACTTCCCGGGCACGGGCTGCAAGGGGGCTCTGGGAGGCCTGCGGGGCCGGGAAGGCGGCCGTCCACTTCCGGTCCTGCAGGTCCGGCCCCGCCGCCCCGCCTCGCCACACCCAGGGCCGTTACAGCCGGATGAGTCACCCACAGCCCGCCGCTGGGGTGACGCAGTGGTCTGGGCAGCCCGCCCGCCCGCCCGCCCGCCGGCTTTCCCAGCAGCAGGGGGCGCGGGGTGGGGGCCCCGGCCGGGGGGGTGGGGGGGTGGACCGGAGCTCCTGCTAGCAGCCCCCTCCCCACACCACCCGCGCGCGCCGGCGGCCACCCCCCGAGGTCGGGGGCCTCTCCTCCCCAGCCCGCGACCCCGAGTCCCCAGGAAGACGGCCGGCGGGAGGAGGCACAGAGAGGGCGGCCCCCGCACGTGCTCCTGCAACCGGGAAGTGAGGGGTCGCGGGGAAGCTCGGGCGCGCGGTCCCTCGGAGCCCGCCAGCCACGCCCCGACGCCCTCCGCTCGTCAACCCCGACGGCCCGGTCCCCGTTGCGGACGGACGCCCCGTCGGTGCACCCGCACCCTCGCCTGACCTCATCGCCCGGCAATGCCGGGTCGGGGCTTGGGGACAGGACCCGACAGCACCGGGCGAGCAGAGCCGTCGTCGGACCCTCGCGCCGGCCCCGGGAGCAAGTCGCCGGCGCGGGCCTCCCGCTTCCCGGAGGCGCGCCCCCCGCCCTCCCCCTGCTCACCGTTGGCGGGCCGGCGCGGCGCACTCTGGGCGGGGGCTGCGGGCCGAGTGGCGCGCCCGGGCCGGGCCGGGGGTTTTCAGCGGCTCCCGCCTCGGACGGGGCGGACCCGGGGCGGGGCGAGCGCCCAGAGGCTTTAAAGGCGCCGCAGCGCCAGGGCGGAGGGCAGAGCTTGGGGAGAGGGGCAGTGGGCGGGAGGGTCTGGGGAGTCGGGCCTACGCGGGCGGCTGCAGTGGTCTCCACCCGGGAGAACCACCGTCTGCACCTGGGAGCTCACAACGTGTGCCTCGGTGGGAAGCTTTTTGCCTGGAAGATTAGCGCAAGACTGTGGGCGTGTTTACGTGGGAAGAAGCGTCTAGATTTAAAAAGGGTGGTTAGGTAAACGGAGGCACGAGAAGACCCCACCCCCCCCCCCCCCCCCCCCCCCTCCCGCGGGCTAAGGTGGGACAGTACCGGGGTGCAGGCCAGGACAGTACCCGCATGTGCTCCCGCTCTCCACCTACTTCAGGCCTGGGCAGGAACTGACAGTGAGGTCATTCTTTGCCCCCGGGGCGTGACCACTGTTGGGACCCAGGGTTCAGACCTGATTTCTTCCCCTTAGTCTCCTCCTCTCTGACCCGGCATCTCTTCCTAATCCTGGAGGGATCAGAAGAGGAGGCCTTAGGGGAGGAGGGGGAGGCTGGCAGTTCTGTGTCTGTGAATGGAGGGGAGCATAGCTTAGGGGTTGTAGGAGCACCCCTCTTCCGGCTTCTGCTGAGCAGTCCCCCTGGGGTGGAGCCCCTGCCTACACCCACCAGTGGGGTTCTTCCTGTAATACAGAAGCTACTGTTTGTCCTGGCTTCCAAGGACATCCACCACCAGTGTCCTTCCACCTTTCTGTCCCTCGTTCCCCAACCCTGCCCGGCCCTGAGAGCCAGGTCCACCAAGTGATTCCCTGGGAGACCCACTGTTCTCACTCCTCTGTGCTTTCTGCCTGGGATGCTTTCCCTCCCTTGACCCACTTCTGATCTGCTCTACACCATGCCCACTGTGTGACCTCTGGGCAAATGACTAAAGCCTCTATGCTTCAGCGGGCCAGCCTAGAAAATAGATAATTCTACCGACCCCATGGTTACAGAAAAGGAAATGATATACATGAATAGCCTAGAGCAGTGCCTGGCCCATAGCAGGTGCTCAGCGACGACTAGCTATTACTGTTACTCCCATCCCGTGAGGAGCTCCCCAGGGGAAGCACTGTCCCCAGTTCGTGCTGTAACCACTCATTGTTTGTGGACTCCTTCTTCTGTGCTACCACAATACCTAGCACCTAGCTTTATCACAGAACTTATCACATCACACCGTAACCGTTTCTTTGCCTGCTTCACCAACTGGCAAAAACTCACCAAGGGCAAAGGCTTGACTTCGTGAACTTTGTTTTCTCAGCGTCTAGCTCAACGGTTGGTCTTCAGTAGATGCCCTCAGCAGGCACTCAATAAATGCTTTTTGAAAGGATATTGAGTGCAGCCCTGTCCACTCAGGAAGGGCCGCCTCCTTTTTAAGGGTTCGGGGCTTTTCCTACCTCCCTCTCAGAGGCAAAGGCAGAAGACACACAGAAACATTTGTCAGACTTTCTTTATTCACCTGTAAAAAAACCTCACCCACACCACAAACACCGTCACCGTCACCACACACACTCACACACACACGGGCAGATCTAAGATCCCTGTCCCAGTCCCCGGACTCCGGGGGCCCGGCATATACACCTCCTAGCAAGCCCACCCAAGCCCACCACCACCAGAGCTGCAGGAGCAGTGTTCCAGGCCGGAGCTAGGGCTTCCTGGGGCCTCCCCTCTGCAGGCTCTGTGTGCCTTCACCCAGCCTCCTATCAGGCGCTCTCACAGCAGAGTGGCCTGTTCGGGGTGGGGCACTGGCTGTCTATAGACCGGTGGCCGGACCCTAGTGGCATCGCGGCGGCGACGGAAAGCTAGGAATTCCTCCCGGAGGACAGCACAGCGGGCCTCGGGGCCAGAAGCATGGGCAGCGTTCAAGAGGCCACCCTCCTCTGGAGTCTTCACATCTGCAAGAGGGGGGCACAGCAAGGACAGGGCTGGGGGTCACGGGTGCAGATGAGCCAAGGGAGAGCAGGAGGAGCAAGGCTGGGGCACGGGGCCCGGCTGGGAACAGACGGGGGAGACGTGGAATGGGGGGGGGTGCCGCACCGCCTTCCTGGGGGGCTCACGCACCTAGGTCTGGCTCGGCTTCAGGTCGGGGTCGAGGGCCAGCCGCGCCCAGGTGCAGAGTCTCCAGCAATTCCATGTCCCCGGGGAATTCTGAGTCCCACTCATAGTTTTCATCCACAGATGTGTTTCTCCTGTCACGGGGGACAAATGCGTGGTACGGCGAGAAGAACAGAGGGTGAGCAGAAAAGCCCCAACCCAGAGTCCCCCAACTCAGCTTGGGCCATGGGTTTCCCCCGAAGATCCCCGGACCTCGGCAAAAGCTTCTAAAAGGAGACAAGTTCTCCTGGTCCCAGGGTGGGAGAGCCCAGAAGGCACAGTGTATTAGGAGAGGGGTGGGGCAGTCTGGGCAGGGACTGGAGCCAAGGTGGGGAAGGGCAGGGACTGTCCTCACCTCTTGCTGACTGTCACCACGTGTTCCCTTCGGGGCCACCTCTCAGGGCCACTGGCCCAGCTGCCGGTGTCTCCCGGAGCAGGGCTGAGGTAGCTGCCTCCCGCAGAGGGGGCTGTGGAGGGGGGCCGAAGGAACGAGGCGCTGCCCCGCCCACTGCTCTGGCTGGTGAGGCTACCCCGAGGGGCGGCAGGGAGAAGGCTTGGCAGCAACCGTTCCCTCAGTGTCCAGTCGGCCAGTGCCGTGTACAGGGGCTCTGGGGTGGCCCCGGCCCCGACCACAGCCCCAGGAAGCGCTGCCCTGGGGGACACGGTGGCGGAGTCCAGGGGCTGAAGGAGACATGAGGTGGGGCAGGGCCGGGTATCCATGTAATCTGGGGGTGGGGCAGGCCCGGGCTCCTCGAAAGGGGGCCAGTCCCCGTCCACATTCATCTCCCGGAAGAAGGGCAGGCTCAGGTACTGAAGCAGGGGTCCTGGACCAGGCAGAGGACTGGGCGGGGCCTCGGGAGGGGGCCCCACAGGGCTGATGTCTGCAATGCAGAGGGGCTGGGGCATCCCACTGGGGCTGCTGCTGCTGCAGTCATAGGACCTGGCCTGGTGCTGGGATGGGGTCCGAGGTTCAGCTCGCTCAGAGCCTGACCTTTCTTGGGGGGTCCCGGCGCTGGGTCCCATCACAAAGCGGCCGTCTGGTCCCCGGCAAATGGGCTCCAGGGGTAAGGGGCCCCGGCTAGGTGGAGGATCCGGAGGGGGGCTGGGGGGACCAGCGGGCTCCCCCGAGAGCAGACTCCGGCGCAGGCTGGGAACCGGGGAGCCCTGGAGCTTCAGCTTTGCCACGCTGTCAGGACTGCCCGAACCCGGAGCAGAGCTGGGGAAGGACAGGGGATCCGGCTCTGTGGCAGGGAGCCAGGCCCCTTCCCAGGACCAGCCTTGAGAGGTTTGGCGAACAGACACCAGGACCCACGTGGTGGAGGGGTGGCAGAAAGGCGCACAGCCAACAGTGGGCAGCCCCAGGCTGGGACCTCTGCACTCCCACCCTCACCTCCTTCCAAGTTCTGTTCCGCCCCTCCCCGCCCACCCCAAGGCACCACCAAGGAGGCCAAGACAGCGGGCGCAGAGGGAAGGCCGAAGGAAGCGGAGGAGGTGGAGGGACTTACTGCGGAGCTGACTTCCCGGGCGGGGAGAAGATAAGAGGCGCATCTGTTCGGGCAGAACCAGAGGTGACACCGGCAAACCTCAGGCCCTCCAGAGCCCCAGGCGCACAGCCTCACCCAACACCCGCCGGCAAACCCTCCCCGCTGGGGACAGACAAGTGCGGACAGACAGGACGCACCTGCCCTGCGCGGGAGGCGGGTGGCCACCTCCGGGGGGGCGGGGCTGGGGCGGGAGGCGGGGCCCGCGGGGGCGTGGCCTCGGGGGCCTACCTTGGCGGAGGCGCTTGCGGCGGCGGCGGGCTGCCCTGCGCCGGTTGGTCAGGCAGGCGGCCAGGACGCTCACGAGGACAGCCACGCCCAGGAAGCAGACCCCGCCCACCACGCCGGCCAGGACCGGCTGGGGCAGGAGGCCTGGCAGCTGCGTGCGGGAGGGGTACACCTCCAGGCCTGGGCGAGGGGTCACGAGGGGCGGTCGGTGCCCGCGACAGTGGGCTCAGCGCCCCCCCCCCCCCC